GAAAACGTGGTTTTTTAGATTAATTTTTTAATCTACTAAATTTTTTTCTAAAAAAATATATATATATAATCGCATCCATCAAAGAGCCATTATTATCTTTCAAACCCTTCGTTGATGCCTTGCGAGGTACAGTACTGTATTTCAACAATTAATCCCTCTTCCCCCAAAGCCATCTGGCGCCCATCCCCTCCACCTCCCAACTTATCTCTATTTTAACCTTACAAAAATATTTAAAAAAACGTAACAAATATAATAATACAACAAAAATGAAGTAAATCAAACCAAAATAACTAAAAGTACAATAACTTAAAAAAACTTAACAATCATAAAATAGCCTAACAATAAGATACTGTACTATCATGAGGAAACCAATGAAGGCTTCCTATCCTCCATCAAAGCTAAAAATAATTTGAATTCAAGAGTCAGTCTGTCCCAAACTCTCTTGAACAATCATCTCTTTTCCTTATATTCCTTTTAAATGGTTTGTGTGTGTGCACAAATCTGTGTTACTCCTGTGTGCTATTCAAATCTGTTTTGTGCATTGTTTGCGCTTATTCTTTGTAATCAACTCTGCTGAAGCTCTTCATATAAATGATTGAAAAACTGGAACATATATATAACCCCTCGAATATGCGTTCTTAGATTTCAAAAGGCTGATTGCCTTCATTTTTAATTTAACGTAATCTTATTCACTCACAATAATCTGGCGCCATGTTTGAAAAAAAAAGAAGCAGACAAAAAAGAAGGGACGACTTAAACCTTGGTCGGTCATTACATGGGGAAACCATCAGCATCACCCATCCATCAATCAATCAGTCAATGGTCAATCATGACCAACCAACCAACCTTTTTCGGGTCGGCGTGACTCGTCAAAGGTAAAAACGAGATCATTTCCTGATAAGAAAACTCGTCCCTCTCCGTGCACTGGATCACGCCGTCCAACGTCAACACGTGTCCGTACACCTCACTGATGAAAACAATAGATAATCATCCCAGAGCTCATTAAATACATACATACAACAGGCAATTTGTTTTTCAATTGATGGGATTACAAAAGACGAGATTACGGATCCCACCGACAAAGGAGCAAAATAAGTGATCTTAACTTCTCACACAAAATCAATTAAATTTGCGTATTTTTAGGCTATTATATTCTCAGGACCATATAAAGGAATTGGAATTAAAAATGCAATTCAAAGGGAAATTCAAATCCCGATGAATTTCAATTTCCCGTGTTTTTCCAATTTTGCACGTTTTTTAAATTCGAAACAATATTTTTAATATTAAAAAATCTTGTAAACTTCTCAAAATTCGTTCGTTGTGTCTTACATAACTAACAGGTTCCCGAATCTTTTGACTTGATCGAGCAAATAACTTGAATTGAGAAAAAAAAAACAGCGTCAATTGAAGAAAATAAAAAAATTTCGCTGAAATTTATAAAAATTGAAAAAAAAACAATTCCATGGCAATAGATTCTATACAACAGGAAACAAGTACAGTATTGGAATCAGAAATTTAATTCAAAGGGAAATGAAAATCCTGAGGAATTTCAATTTCCTGCAAGCTTCCAATTTTACATGTTTTTAAAATCCCTTTTGAAGCAATATTTGTAAAAATGTTCACATATGAAGAAGATTTTAAGATTACTTCATAACAAAATTAATAGGAAGAAAGGATTGGACTTTTAAAATTGTAATTCAAAGGAAAATGTAAATCCTGAAGAAATTTGAATTTCCTCTGTGCTTATAGTTTTGCACGCTTTGAAACATAAAAATTTTCAATCAAAACTTTTTACCATGTTTCTTTGTATTAATTTTTTTTTCACGCTCAGGTTCTTAATTTTAGCTTTATAAATTTTTCACTCAGAAACCAATTGAATGATTTCCCAAAGGTTATCATGGTAAATGCTTGTGCCTTACTTGAAGAATGCTTTGAGCAAAAAACCAAACACTGCAATGGATCAGGTTCATTGCTCAAGGACCAATGCTTTTTTTATTTTATAAATAAAATACTGTAATAAGCAAAGGAAATCAACTCTCATTAATTTTGGAATAAAAAAGCGCTAGTGGTACAATACATACAAATAATTATGACACACAAGTACTGTAATTCAGCATTTGGAAAAAAAAGACAGTTTCAAATAAGAAAAAAAAACAGACCTGTCAAGAACAACAATATTTTGGTACTTGGACTGCTCCTCGTGTAACACACTCTTGACCTTGATGGAGAAGCACTGGTGTGGCCAGAGCGGGCTGAGCTCGCTGAACCAGTCGGACGCCAGTTTGTTCATGTTTGTGGTGGTAGTGGTGGTGGTGGCGGTGGTGGTAATGGCTGTGGAGGCGGCTCAACGCGGGACGGCGTGACAACCGAGTGCACGGGGAACTTTGCTCCTTTTTGTTGGGGAAGCCAGGCGGCAGCTCTTGTTCTCTGTTCGCGAACAGAACAACTCGGTCCCACACACACAAACTTCCATCATTGGACAAAAACAACAGGGAAACGAAAACAATAAAAATACAGGCAATTGTTATTACACAATTACTCATAAGAGAGTAAAATCACACAATGAACCTTCTTATTGTCAACATTCCACCATACAAACCAAACTCAATTTTTGAAATACGTTATACACTGTCAAACCTCGAGATTTAGTGCCATAATTTGTCCTAGCAGTTTTTGTGGCACTAAATCAAGTACAATGTAGGAATCAATTGAGAATTTCTACTGTAGGAAAAATAGTTTTTCAGAATTTTTAGGCCACTGGGTCTGTTTGATGAAAGAAAAAGCCATAAAAAAATTTTGAAGCCCAACTGCACAGCTTTTGTGTTTGGTATTTCAATACAGTATATTGGATTAGGCAGAATACTGTACAGTATGGACTCTATCCACAAAAAAATCCAGGGGACCAGAAAAAATCAATTGTAGAGAGAATTTGGATGCACAGAACCCATATAAAATCCACCTGAACTGCGTTAGATTTATATCTATTGTAAAAGAGCCAAGCTGTTTCTTCAAGTTTTGTTTAAGTCAGTTGAAATCATGCATGAATCATCTGTGATTTAAGGAAAGCTCCCACTTCATTTAAAAAATCAATAAACTAAGGTGTTTCAACAACAATGTTTTCTAGCAGAGGCATATTCAGAAATAGCATGTTCAAAATCATCCTGAGTTTTTATGGTAGCACAGGCATCATATTCTCAGTAATGATCAAATGGTACAGTACAGTATTCTGTTAGAGTTGGGGGTTTCAGATGAAATCATGCAAGTCACCAACAGTTCAAGGAGAGCTCTCCCTTCACCAAAAAATCCAATGAAGAAAGGTTGTGCAACAACAAGAAGGTGGACTCTCTCTACAACAAAATTCAAGTGATCAGAAAAAAATTACTCTGGAGAGAAAATTTTTCTAGAGAACCCTATACAACATGGGGGAGAACCCTGCATGGCAAAAATAAAAATTGTGTTGTACAGGTGGTACCTTGAAAATTGACCCTAATTCATTCTTAGGCTAGGGCCAAATTTCAAAGCAGTCAAATTTAGAACCATCAGCACAAAAATGCTAAAAAAAAAAGTGGCCAAAGCAGGTCAAGTTGCGTGACAGAGGTTGAATTGCAAGTGAACTTCCATGCAAATTTGACCATCAAATTGCGGGAGGTTGAATCACAAGGTAACACTTGTATACAGAGAAAATTGTTGCAGACAAGACTGTTGTAGAGAGAGTCTACCTGCATTTTTCAACAAGGCAAATTCAGAAATAGAAAGGTTCCAAATCACATTGAGCTTTTACCTGAGCATTAGCATGCAACTCTCATCAATAAACCAAGCATCCTTGAGACAAAGGCCTCAATTTTTATTTTCTTTAGGCACATTCTTCATCCATCAGGATAAAGAATTTTTGTGGCACTGAGTGACTTTGCCCTAAATTAGGGTTTTTTCTGAAGAACACAATCAAGGGAGATGTGCTCCAGATAAATTTGTGGCACTTAATTTCATGGTTGACTGCAACTTTACATATAACTCAGTCATCCCGTGTGTGTGTGTGTGTGTGGACAATGTTAGACGTGAACTTGTCCCAACAAAACAGTCGGTCAGAGGGGGACCTGACTGGTAGGGACGTCCTTGTTGTTGGGCAAAAATAGATGACATGGAAATTTTAATTCCAAGTAAATAAAAATCTCGCTTGGCAACCGCCCGTCCTGATAAAAATCCGGGCTGGTCTAGCTGCTTGATTAATGCCCTTCAGACAAAATCATCATCATCATGGTATATAGCTGGTATGGGAACCAGCAGCGACCGGCTGCATTCCTCCTCGTCCCGAGATACGACCGAGATAATAAGCATGCTCGCAGGTGCAGACATTTTTTTTTTTTTACGAGTCCACAGACAATTTGTTACATAAGCAAGTTACAGAATTATTTCCGAAAATTTATTCCACTTCTTTTTTTAAATTTTTTCACCAAGAGCGCGCGGAACCAAGGCAGGTAATAAAAGCAGCATTTCGTTCGTGATCGTAAAAAAAATGAAGCTGTTCACCTGGCATCTAATATAACGAGTCGAGTCACAACACTGACTTTTAAAAAATATTTCATGCTAATTCCAGTGTTTTTTATTACTAAATTTTCATGATATTTTTTTCCATGAATATTCGGAAAAAATAATGTCTTTTCAATCTATCATTAAGTGCTTTTTATTTCAGGGATTTTTTTTCTCTCGATATTCTGACGTCTATCAGGAGTATCTTATTAAGGAAGTTGCTAGGACTTACAGTACTCAGTACTTTACTCACTCAAGTACCACACAGGCCTCCTTTTACACCCGTCTTAGTTGGTTAATTCTTTTTTATCTTGGGGCATCTAATAAAGTATTCAGATTACAGGATAGATTTTAAAATAGCAGGTGGGCTCACTCTTTAATGAAATACAAGGGACCACACACAAAAAATTGTGTTATAGAAAGAATTTCATTGTAGACAACCCCAAACATTCTTTTCTGGGACACCATATAAGATATGGGAAGAGAACCCCAAGGAACTAAAAAAAAA